AGAAGAACAGAGGCAGGGAGGAGAGAAAGGAAGGAAGAAAGGAAGGAAGGAGAAGAAGAACAGAAGCAGGGAGGAAGGAAGGAAGGAAGGAAGGAAGGAGGCAGGGAGTAAAGAAAGGAAGGGAGGAAGGAAGGGAGGGAGGGAGGGAGAAAGGAAGGAGAACAAGAACTGAGGCAGGGAGGGAGGGAGGGAAGGAAGGAAGGAAAATAAGGACAGAGGGAAGGAGGGAGGGAGGTCATAAGTCCCTTTTTTCCGTGCCATTGTCACTTCAAACGGTCACTAGGCTTCCAAATCGAGGACTACCTATTATGCTCAAACAGGTCACCCTGGCCAAAACCATCCCAGCCACCGTGTCCAAACCCCTCAATTCCTGGATTTAACCGCCTGCTCCTCCCAAACCCCAAATCGATTCCACCGCCTATCAGCCTGTTCCGCTTCCTGGAGGTGGAGAGAGAGAGAGAGAGAGAGAGAGAGGTGTCTCCTAGTTTCATTGTGAGAGGAAAGTTGTGACGGAATGGAGCACCCGGCCTTGCCTGGAAAAGGCTCTCGGTTGCTAAGTGCTCCGGGAGAAGCCATTTCCGAGCCCGATGGGTAATGAAATGTCTTCAAGAAAACAACTAAGCTCAGAGAAGAACCAAGGTCCCTATAGTCTTCTTCTTCCTCCTCCTCCTCCTCCTCCTCCTCCTCTATGCTACAAGCCCCACTTCTTTCTAGCACTGATGGTATTACCTAGATGGGTAATGAAATGTCTTCAAGAAAACAATCAAGCTCCGAGAACATCAGGGAGCCTATAGTCCTCCTCCTCCTCCTCCTCCTCCTCCTCCTCCACCACCACCACCACCACACTGCAAACCCTATTCCTTTCTGGCACTGCTGATGTTACCTAGCTGGGTCCTGAAACGTCTGCAAGAAAGCCACCAAACCCAGAGAGCACCAAGGACCCCCTCATCTTAACCCTGAGCTACAAATATTCTCCTTTATTGTTTTTTTTATCTATTGATGGAATTTTCATGCTACCCATCTCCCCTATACAGGCCACTCTTGGGGGCTCCCAAGTTCTAAAACCTGTACTAAACTGACCGTATCTTTTCCCTTTTGGGGGAAAGAAGCTGGACATATTAAAAGCCACTCCGAAGCTGGGTTTTCGTTTCATTTCTCTCCCACATCACCTCTTCCTCCCACGGGCAAGGCTGATGAGTCCTCACTTGCCTGCCAGAGACACCCTTTGCCACCTGCGTTGCCCTGCTAAGGAACCCAGGAAGGCCTCTTCACGTTCCCTTCTACCTGCCTGGCCCCCCTCAAACGTCGGAAGGGGGGAGAGGCATCTGCGGAGCCTGGCACAACTTCATATTTTTTTCCCTGGAGGGTTCCCCACTCCCACCACCCTCCTCCTCCTCTCCCCCTCCTCAAAGCAAGCCTCCTCTCCCACTTTCTGACCTCCCAGGTAATAATAATAATGAAGTTGGAAGGGACCTTGGAGGTCATCTAGTCCAACCCCCTACTCAAGCAGGAAACCCTCCACCATTTCGGACAAATGGCTGTCCAGTCTCTTCTTAAAAACGTCCAGTGTTGGAGCATTCACCACTTCTGGAGGCAGGTTGTTCCACTGGTTAATTATTATTATTAATAATAATAATAATAATAATAATAATAATAATAATAATAATAATAATAATAATAATAATAAAGTGTTGGAAGGGACCTTGGAGGTCATCTAGTCCAACCCCCTGCTTCAGGCAGGAAACCCTATACCAGTGGTTCTCAACCTGTGGGTCGGGACCCCATTTGGGGTCGATCAATCATTTCACGGGGGTCGCCAAGCAAGGCTGTCCGCCATTTTTTTTGTCCATTTTTTTCCCTTTTCCGGCGGGTGCCTTACCTCCCTTGGGCTGGGCCAGCTGGTGGTCGGCCTGCTCCGTCTCTGCCGCTTGCCAGCTACGCCTTGGCCGGCGCAGGGGGCGGAACCACGCATGCGCGGTGCTCCTGGGCAGGGAAAGTCCTCGACTTACGACCGGTTGGGTAGTCCTCGACTTACGACCGGTTTAGTCCTCGACTTATGACCGGTTTACTCCTCGACTTACGACCGGTTGGGGTCGCGGCATTAAAAAGGTTGAGAACCACTGCCCTATACCATTTTGGACAAATGACTGTCCAGTGTCTTCTTATAAAACTTCCAGTGTTGGAGCATTCACCGCTTCTGGAGGCAGGTGCTCTGAGGCAGGTGTCTGAAGCTCCAGCAGGTTCCAGATTAGAATAGAATAGAGCTGGAAGGGTCCTCAGAGGTCTTCTAGTCCAGCCCCCTGCTCCAGCAGGAGACTCTATCATCTATCTATCTATCTATCTATCTATATCTATCTATCTATCTATCTATCTATCTATCTATCTATCTATCTATCTATCTATCTATCTATCTATCTATCTATCTATCTATCTATCTATCTATCTATCTATCTATCTATCTATCTATCTATAATCTATCTATCTATATGCCATTTCAGACAAGTGACTGTCTAGTCTCTTCTTAAAAACCTCCAGATTGGTCTTATTTCATACCCTCTTTAATAGGGGGGGGGGGCTTCTTGACAGACCCTCTCGAGACCGAGGTGGTGTCCTCGTCTCTGGCATCCCCAACCTTTTCCCAGGAGACCAGAATCCCAAGCAGACCAGCCCCTTCCCTTCCAAAGCCCCCACCCACCCAGGAAGGTTCCTGGGGGGGGGGGGGGCTTCAGCAAAAGCCTTGGCTCCGGGATGGGGGGGGGGGTCTTTTCCTACCAGCAGCAGCGCAGCATTCTCTCCCCCCCCCCCCCCCCCCAAAGCCAGCCCGGGGCTAAAGTGCCCAGACTTACATCGTGGATGGGGCGGGCTGATCCCGGCGCAGGTCGCTGCTCCTCGGCCGGGTGCG